ATCTCAAACATATTATTTTTTTACCTTATATTTTAGTTAAAAAAATTAATAGTATGTTCTCAAATAAAAATCGATCATAAAATTAGATGCAAAATGTTTGTAGGTGAGCATGAATTTTAAGGAGTGGATCTTACAAATAAATTTAGTTAAATTTCGTTCATTCTTGTAATTTTGTGTTGAATTTGTGTATTCTTAGCATAAATGGTGCATACACGAGACATTGGAATAATTTTAAATTTTTTCTTCCAACTATGTGGATGGTATTTTATAAATTTAAAAATAATTATTTTAAAATTCTAGGTGGTTACAAAAATGAGTAGATGTGGAAAAGTTATTCTGCTCACATGATAAATTGTAAATAAAATACACCGTCCTTGATTATAATAGTGTGATTTAAAATGTTATAGATTCCATTTAATGTAAAATTTCTCAAATCTTCATTAGTGATAATTTTCTCAAATTTTCATTTTTCACTGTATTAATCTCTTAATCTTTTCTTCTTTTTTTTTTTTTTTTTTTCCAAAATCTCATTTTAGTGTAAATTTCATAAAAGATCAAGTATAAATATACGTGTATTATACGTTGTAACACTCTAATATAATATATTAAAAAACTCTTTAGTATATTTTTCTCAAACGTAACAACAAAATATTTCACAAAAACTCCTTAGTGTATTTTTCTCAAACGTAACACTTCAATCAACGTAACACTAAAAAATTTCTTAGCGTATTTTTTCCAAACGTAATGCTCCAATATAACACACTAAAAAATTCCTTAATGTACTTTTCTCAAACGTAACAATGTAACATTTAAAAAAAAAAAAAAACCCAATTAGTACACATTAATGTGTGTTTGGGAGAAAAAAAGTGAATGAAGTAGAAGCCTTTTTTTTTTTTTTTGGGAGAAATTACAAATCAGTGGGAGGTGGGGCAAATAATTACAATTTAGTTTTGGAGCATACCATTTGAGAAATTTGAATGGGTATATACATCCCCAAAAGATTAATGGTAGATATTTGAAGCCTTATTTTCCAACCATTTGGGAAACACAAGGAAAAAAAATAAACACCATAAAATTAGAAAAAAATTATAAGCACCAAAAGGGATGACAAAACTGGATAATATCATACCAGCGATGAGTTTTATTATTTATTATTTTTTAATGAGAGTTGTATTTAATTTAATAGAAATATTAAGAAATAAGGCAAATCCCTCTCAAAAGCAAGCAAGCCAAGGATGAACAAATCTCCATGTCCAAATTCCAAATTTATGCCTCTCTCTCTCTCTCTCCCTCTCTCCACTGCACACTAAAATTCAATATATTTTTCATATTTTTGTATAGTCATTAATTTTTTAAAATATTTTTTCACAAATATTTTACTTTTTAGACACATCCAAATAAGATGCATCTAAAAAAGTAAAAAAAAAATACTTAAAATTTAAAAAATTAAAAAATATTCACTAAAAAAAATATGAAAAACAAAAAACTTAGTTTTCAGATAATTGAATTTAGAAAATTGAAATAAACACCCTGATTATTTTTCTTCAATTTTACTTAACAAAAATATATAGATAATTTAGATTGGAAATAAATCAAAAATTTAAAATTTTAAATTAATAGAATAAAAAATAAAAAATATATTTTATTACAAAAATCAAATCTCAAGTTTTTATTTTTTTATATAGTTTGTCTTGTTTTCTTCTCCAGTGTTGAATGTCCTCTCATTACACTCTACCTAATCTTTTCGGAGACTCGCAAAAGACTCACTATTCTACCTTATCTTTTCGGAGACTCAAAAAGACTCTCGTGGTCTTCGTCTGCTCTTTATTACTTTTCATTGTATTCTATAATTTCCCAATTTTTACGTGGGTGTTTGGGAAGTGAGTTTTTATGTAGATTTTTTTAGTTGAAAAATATTATTGAAATTTTTTTTTTTTGTGTTTAGAAAGATAGTTAGGTTTTTTTGTTATTAGATGTAATGTTTATGAAAGAAAAAGTAAAACGATTATGAGATTGGATATGATATTTTGTTTAGTTATATTTTTTTTAATTTTACAAAAAGTTTGTCTTTTTGTGAAAAAAACAAAAAAAAAACCCAAGTTCTAAACTTCCCAAACACCACCTTGACTTTAATATTCTGTCACTGTCAATCCTCTGTCAAACCTAGGGCTCAAAAGACTCTTCTTTGTTCATTGTATTGGGGCGATTATGGAGGTGAGGAATTGTGCCTCGTTCGTGGACTTTTCATTTAAAGGTTAAAAAATTATATAAAAAAATTAAAAATTTATTTATTTTTTTATACAGTTATTACAAAAAATTAAAATATTATCTCAAACATATTATTTTTTTACCTTATATTTTAGTTAAAAAAATTAATAGTATGTTCTCAAATAAAAATCGATCATAAAATTAGATGATGCAAAATGTTTGTAGGTGAGCATGAATTTTAAGGAGTGGATCATACAAATAAATTTAGTTAAATTTCGTTCATTCTTGTAATTTTGTGTTGAATTTGTGTATTCTTAGCATAAATGGTGCATATACGAGATGTTGGAATAGTTTTAAATTTTTTCTTCCAACTATGTGGATGGTATTTTATAAATTTAAAAATAATTATTTTAAAATTCTAGGTGGTTACAAAAATGAGTAGATGTGGAAAAGTTATTCTGCTCACATGATAAATTGTAAATAAAATACACCGTCCTTGATTATAATAGTGTGATTTAAAATGTTATAGATTCCATTTAATGTAAAATTTCTCAAATCTTCATTTTTTTTTTTTTTTTTTTTTTTTTTTTTTTTTCAGATAGGTATTAATCTCTCAATCTTAAGAGGTAAAATATACACACTCCCTGATGTAATATTTTTATGTTTCAAATAATTTGTTTATGTAAAGCAATGAAGCCATAGGTTGCAATTTAATTTTAATGTATGCCATCTTTGTATCATCTTGTATGATGGACAAATCAAACCCATCACTCTCAATTATTTAATTGTCTCCTCCACATTCCCCTTTAGTATTTTACATGATTAATAGAATTAGGGTTGGGCAAATCAAACCCACTACTCTAAATTATTTAATAGAAAATTCTATTCATACAAAAAAAATAAAAATAAATAAATAAAAAATGACAAGATTGATGTGGTATTGTTATTAGAAATATATTCATTTTTAATAGTATTTTATTTTGTAATGAAAAATTCATAATAAATCACATCATTATATATATATTATTTATATAGCATTACTCTTATTTAATTTGTATTCTTCATCTCACTGCAACAATGATTAATGGAAATAGCTTAATCATGTGGTTTATAATGAATTTAAGAAGATGGGGTGGTTACGGCCATTGGATCTCATTTCGATAATTTAAATGGTTTATTTTTTAAAGTATATCGAGTAAAACACACTTGTAAAAAATCAAGCTAATTGAATATCCCTAACATTTTTATCTACTCACATTTGTATTCAATTTTATACTCCAAGTCATATTTGTTATTTATTTTTGTAGATACAAATGTAATTCAATAAAATTGTTAACGATGTTCGATCAATTTGATTATTTTTGCAAATATGTTTCACTTGATGTACTTTGAAAAGTAAATGATTCGGATGATCGAAACGGACTCCAATAACCACACAATCGTGGTTGCTATGCGGCGCTGCACAGCAGTCATCCCATCACTTGGATTTAATTGACTTTTTTAGCATATTAGATGTGTTTTAAATAAGTATTGCCTATTACGACTTAATTCAATAGTTGATCTAATATGTTTATCTCTTATTTGTCTTATGTTATTTTGTACATAAATTTTAAATATTCTTCATAACTCATACCATTTAGAAATACAAGAAAGACAAAACTTTATGATCAGATTAAAACCCCCATTTTTTATAATTAATATAAGACAATTTTACAAAGATCATGCCATTTAACTATTTGAAAAAAAAAAAAAACCCAATCAAACAACATAATCTTAAGCACAAAAGACTAAAAAACATAGCAGTATGCACTATGTACTAGTTTGGAAATTAATTATTTTAAATAAGTTTTTAAATTTTTTTATAAAATTATGAGTAAAAAATATAAAAAATAATGTAATTAAGATGGTCGACTTTTTAACCATTTCAAGGACTTATCGCAAACGGTGTGTATATATGTCTAAAGAGAATAACAATCCAATTAAAAAAATATTTGTACATCAATAATAGTAAATTTTATAAATATTAATAATTAAAATTTTATTTTTTTTAATATATTTGTAAATATTTTTTCAGGACGGCCCACCCTCAACCCCATCCATATCATGTAATCGTCATCAGTGTTGCGTCCCAATCCAAATTTGTGAGGTCAGCACGTGGAAATCTTCGAATTAATATTAATTAATTAATCTTGTTTACTTGACTTCATTAGCAGCGTGCATACCATAAACTATTCCTCCAAAACCATCACCAATAGTTGCTTGCCACGTCATCAGGTAGAGACTACCATGTGCTCTTTCCTTACGTGTCACATTATCATTGGATTTACTTATGTGGGAATACGACAACTCAATGCCTCTGCGTCGCCATATTTATACATAGAGAGAGATAAAGGAGAGTGGAAGAAGCTTTGTTTGGGAGGAAGGAAGCAATCGTCTCTCTCTCTCTGTCTAGAGTTATAGAGAGAGAAACTAAAAGGAGCTGGCTGCTAAGCACACTGTCTCTCTCACCCTGTCTCTCCTAATTCTGGTAATCCAAACCCTACCACTTCACTAATATATGTATTATGAATATGTTTATTGATATATATATATACACATATAGGTTAAGACAATTACTTGACTTTATTAGCAGCGTGGATACCATAAACTATTCCTCCAAAACAATCACCAATAGTTGCTTGCCACGTCATCAGGTAGAGACTACCATGTGCTCTTTCCTTACGTGTCACATTATCATTGGATTTACTTATGTGGGAATACGACAACTCAATGCCTCTGCGTCGCCATATTTATACATAGAGAGAGATAAAGGAGAGTGGAAGAAGCTTTGTTTGGGAGGAAGGAAGCAATCGTCTCTCTCTCTCTCTCTCTCTCTCTCTCTAGAGTTATAGAGAGGGAAACTAACAGGAGCTGGCTGCTAAGCACACTGTCTCTCTCACCCTGTCTCTCCTAATTCTGGTAATCCAAACCCTACCACTTCACTAATATATGAATATGTTTATTGATATATATATATACACATATAGGTTAAGACAATTAGCTTTGGATGTTCACTGGTTGTTCTAGATCTTTCAGTTACAGATTTGTTTTTAGCGTTAGGGTTAGGGTTTATATGTGTAATGAATTTGCATAATCAGATCATGTAATTTATGTGATGAAATTCTTCAATTACAGGTGAAACTGTTTGAATCGATTGTTTCGTCAATTGGGGTTGAGATATTGTTGTGTTGTTGAGTTCTAATGGGGAAAGGGGGGCAAGACTATGGGAAAAAGGAGAGTTTGGGGGCAGAATCATCATCGAGAGGAGATTTCTTCGCTGCTTGGGCGAAAGATGTTCAAGAATGCGAAGAGAAGTATGGGGTGAATCGGGATTACGGATTGTCGACCGATGAAGTGGAGAAGAAGCGGCAGATCTATGGATGGAATGAATTGGAGAAACATGAAGGTCAGTCTATTTTGAGATTGGTTTTGGATCAGTTTAATGATACTCTGGTGAGGATTTTACTTGTTGCTGCTGTGGTGTCTTTTGTCTTGGCTTGGTATGATGGTGACGAAGGTGGGGAAATGGAGATCACTGCTTTTGTGGAGCCTCTGGTGATTTTCTTGATTTTGATTGTGAATGCAATTGTTGGGGTTTGGCAAGAGAATAACGCCGAGAAAGCATTAGAAGCTCTTAAAGAAATTCAATCGGAGCAAGCAACTGTGGTACGTGATGGCAAAAAGTTTACTGGTTTTCCTGCAAAAGAACTTGTTCCTGGTGACATTGTTGAGCTCCGGGTTGGTGACAAAGTCCCTGCTGATATGAGGGTTTTGTTTTTGATTAGCTCAACTCTTCGAGCTGAGCAGGGTTCATTGACTGGAGAGAGTGAAGCGGTTAGTAAGACAACTAAGCCCGTTCCGGAAGATTCTGAAATTCAGGGGAAGAAATGTATGGTTTTTGCGGGGACAACAATTGTGAATGGGAATTGTATTTGTTTGGTTACTCAGACAGGGATGGATACGGAGATGGGTAAGGTGCATTCACAGATTCACGAGGCCTCGCAAAGCGAGGATGATACACCTCTAAAGAAGAAATTGAATGAATTTGGAGAGTCTCTCACAGCTATAATTGGGGTTATTTGTGCATTGGTGTGGCTTATTAATGTGAAATACTTTCTCACTTGGGAGAATGTTAATGGGTGGCCCACGAATTTTAAATTCTCTTTTGAGAAGTGCACTTATTACTTTGAGATAGCAGTGGCATTGGCAGTGGCTGCCATTCCTGAAGGTTTACCTGCTGTTATCACAACATGTTTGGCCCTTGGCACGCGGAAGATGGCTCAGAAGAATGCGCTTGTCCGGAAGTTGCCTAGCGTCGAGACTCTTGGCTGCACAACCGTGATCTGTTCTGATAAAACTGGTACTCTAACTACCAATCAAATGGCAGTGGCAAAGCTTGTGGCAATGGGTACCGGGCCAGATGCTACCCGAACTTTCAATGTGGAAGGGACCACATATAGTCCTCTGGACGGAAAAATTCAAGATTGGCCCAAGGGTCGAATGGATGCGAATCTCCAAATGATTGCAAAGATTGCTGCTTTGTGCAATGATGCAGGCATTGAACAAGCTGGAAATCATTACGTAGCCAGTGGAATGCCCACTGAGGCAGCATTGAAGGTAAGATCTCGTACTTTTGTTCTCCGGTTTAAAATTAAATTCATTTGTCTTTATAGTAGAATTACAGTGTCTTCTGAAGCTGCCATGATGCTGCGAGGGAAAAAAGTTGAAATTTACTGTCATATTATCCAAAAAGGGTTAAAGCTGGATTTTCCCTTTCAAACATTTGATTTGCTAAATCAAGGTTCATCGGTTGGTTGGTAGCAACACCCTGTACATGTCGAAGGTTTTTTTACCTTTTCTCTGTCATAAGTACAATAGATCACTTGAAGATTTTCTTGCTGAGAGTTATATAGACTGATGCTCCTTTCTTCATTGAAACATTTTCTGTAGTTGCTGCATATATATAAATATTGAGCTGAAGCAATTTCATAATCCTGACTGTTTGTTTTCAGGTTATGGTTGAGAAAATGGGACTTCCTGATGGATTGGATTCTGGTACAACTTCAGGTTATAGAGATGTCCTACGTAAGTTACTAGTGTAACATATGTTTATGTTGTTTCATAATCGTGTTTACGTGGCTGCTGATGTTTTCATTTAATTTTGTGCATTTAAGGTTGTTGTCAAGCATGGAAAAAGCTTGAAAGACGGATAGCCACTCTTGAATTTGACCGTGATAGGAAATCTATGGGAGTTATAGTGAGTTCCAGCTTAGGAAGAGGAAGAAAATCATTGCTCGTAAAGGTACATTCAGCCATATGGAGTTTGTTTTATTTTTTTATTTTTTCTTTGACACATTGTTACACAGGAGAAACTGATTGCCTGAGGAGCATTTGTTACAAAGGAGTCCATTTTTCTTATGCAGCAAAACTATTATATGTGGTGCCAGTGTTTAACCCCTCCTGCTTTCTTTTTTGGGGTGGATAAGTCATAAATTAAAGACAAAGAATGTATACATTTATAAGGGCATACCCCAGGTAATACAATAATTCTAGCACTACCCCCAAAGAGGGGAAGTGTAAACCAAAATAAAAACGAAATATAACAAACCCCGCATATACCGGGAAACCAAAAGAAACTCACAAGTGAAGCCCTAAATTTGCCCATATATCCTTTTTATCCCCAAATTACCCCTACCATCAAATATAACACCTCTTGCTTTCAGGTTGTATTTAATTGATAGTAAATGCAGATAGATAAGTGTCTATGTGTATGCAATTCAACCCAACTACACTTGTTCTAGCTTTATGTTAAATGGAAATCTGTCAAGTATAGACTATAATTTCAAAATTATGATATATAATTTAATGTTAAATCATACTCTGTTTATGAATTTACTCCTCATGTCTACAAAGGAAAACACAACATCTTACATAAGACACAATTTGTCAGTAACCAATGTAATCCCTAAATCTAAAAGGAGTTGCTTATGGCTAGGCGATGTGTTTCTTACATTAACTCAGCAATATGTTCATTACTTCATATCCAACATGAATGCATTAGCATAATTTCAATGACAAATGGCATATGATTATGAAAAATCTTACTTGGATACACCCAAGGTATGGACTACATGGATTGGAGGGCCTATTTAAAAGGCTTAAATTGAATTTTATGAAAAGTTTACGGACACAGATGCGGATGCGGATACGGAAATAGACACGGATGTAGACACGGGACACAACAATTTTTAAAAAATGGGGACACGCGGGGACATGACAATTTTTAAAAAAATGGGGACACGGCTATAAAATATGTTTTCATATATTTTTATTTGCTATCTAGATTAATATTACATCTGCAAAAAATTAATATTAACAAAAACTAGTTCTAATTCTATTTTTTTTTTAAAGTACTTTTAAATTAACACTAACAGCTTATATCTTTTTTTATGGTTGATCTATAACATATTTAAATTTAGGATAAATTACAAATACACCCCTGAGGTTTGTTTAAAATACAAATTGCCTCTTGTGGTTTGAAAAATTACAAATGCTCCATTGTTAGAATTTTTTATTTAACAGAATTAACTAAAAATATAAAATTCATATTTGCTCTTCTATATAATAATAAAATTACCTAAATTATTAATTGAAATATATTTTTAATATAATTAAAAACTGTTAATTGACTTGATTATTTATTAATAAAAGGGACGATTTGTTATGAAATTAGAAACCTCAGGGGGTGAAATGTAATTATAGAGGGGTCAGAAATTAAACCCCAAATTAAGTATGGGCTTAGCGAGGAAAAATGCCCAAGTCAAGTTGTAGAGGCCACATGTGTAGCGGTAGAGTAGTTGAGGCACTTTGTCTTAGCGCCGCCATTCCTATTAACTTCGGCTCTGCCGTCATTGGAAGTTGCCGAGGGGACATCTGCAGTAGTAGAGTTGCTGAGGCACTTTGTCTCAGCGCCGCCATCCCTATTAACTTCAGCTTTGCCGTCATTAGAAGTTGCCGAGGAGACATGTGCAACGGCAGAGTTGCTGAGGCACTTTGCCTCAGCGCCGCAATTCTAAGTATCTTCGGTGCCATCGCCATTCCAAGTAATGTCGGTGTTACGATCACCTGGAGTTGCTGAGGGAAAGGGATGACCGAGGCAACTAGGTTGCTGAGTCAACACTTGCAACGCCCAAGTTGCAGAGGCATTCTGTCAGCGCCGCCATCTCCAATATCTTCGGTTATGCTGTATGGACTTGCTGCGGGAAACGACTGTCGCAGTAACTACTATCACAGCAAATAAGTTGCAGAGGGAATATTTTGCCAAGGTAATAGCAGTCTTTGAGAGAGGCTTCCCCCCGCAAGCAGAGGCTAATGCCTGGCGCCGACAGCAGGCCCCAAGGCATTATTGGCCTAGGGCTGATAGCAGGCCCCACATTTCATTTAACTTGGCGCTGATAGTAGGTCCCAAGACTTACTGGTGGGAGCTGATAGCAGGCCCAGAAATACCAGTTCACTGCGGCAACCCCGCGAAGATGGGAGCAGGGTAGCCCGAACATAAGGGACTCCTTTTCCATTACCTAGGTCATGGACCTGCCTTAGTCGTACAGGCAGGACTAAGGAAGCCCCCTTGGGCTTGGTATTAAGGCACAACATGGCTGATAGCAGACTTGGTTGTGGCCTTCGCCCTGGGAAGCTGGGGAGTTTGTGGTTAGGTGGCTAAGGGTGGAGGTTTCGCTGAGGTGAACACGAACATAGTCGATAGCAGACTCATGGAGTCCTGAGAATGCATGTATTGGCCAAGTAGAATTGAGAAGGCAAGTGCAGCGGCAAGGTTCACTGCTGCAAGTGCACTCTATGAAGCACGGACACGGATACGGACACGGGATACGGTAATTTCTAAAAAATAGGGACACGGACACGGATACGGACACGGCAGGAGACACGGCAAAATTTTTTTTTAATAAATATTTTTATTTTAATATACATTAATTATTTTATTTATTTGTTTTCTTTTTTAAATAATGTGTTTTTGATAAATTTTCATTTTATTTTATTTTATATACATTTATTTTATTTTATTAATATGTATAAGTATATATTATGTTATATATACTTACAAAATAATATGATTTTATTAATATTATTAATATTAATATGATTTTATAAATATTATTTTATATATACTTATATATATATATATAATATAAGAGATAAGAAGAAAGCTGGACAGAGCCAGCAAAGAGAGAGAGACAGAGCGAGAGGGAGAGACAGAGACGCGAGACAGATGCGAGCGAGCGAGAGAGAGAGAAGACGAGTCGAAGGTTTGTCTTCTCAACTGGATGTTCGACGACGAAGATGACTGGAGTTGAAGGTTCGATCGATGCTTCGAGTCAACTGGATGTTCGACGACGACGACGAAGGTTCGATCGATACATCGAGTCAACTGGATGTTCGACGACGACGACGACGAGAGTCAAAGGTTTGTCTTCTCACTCTTTTCCTTCACACTGTCTCTCCTCTGTCTCTCTCTCCTCGCCGTGTCCAGATCTGGACACGCGCGTGTCCCATACAAAAAAATAATTAAATTAAAGGGACACGCCATGTGGCGTGTCCTGTACGTGTCCCCGGCGTGTCCTCGTATCTGACACCGCCACGGCGCCGATTTTGCCGTGTCCATGCTTCATAGAGTGCACTTGCTGAGGTTCAAGCTGAGAAGGAAAGTGCAGAGGCAAGTACTCCCGCTGTAACTGCACTTGCTGAGGCTCAAAAGGGAGTTGCAGCGCCAAACACTCCCGTCGCAACTACACTTGCTGAGGCTTAAAAAAGGTAATTGCGGAGGCAAACAGATAGTACACAGTAAATGCAGAGGGACACGTGGCACCTTTAGCCGGGTGGCTCGAGGTAGAATATTCCATGTGATCCTCTGGGACACATGTCTTCTCTCTATTTGGCCACTTGGTGTCTTCTTGGCACCAAGGAAAAGCCGATAAATATGACCCATTTCCCAAGGTTTAGAGGAGGAATTTTGGAGATTTGAGGGAGATGCTGCCCAATTTGGTACTGCCATACACTTCTTCTTGAGCCACTTGTTTCACCTTCACCCAGCTACATACTCTCCAATTCTCAAACAGTTGCTGCTGTTCATTCTCAAGCCACTCCCATTATTATTATTGGACCATCAGCATAGTCTTGCCTCTCTAATCACCTCTCTAACCTTGAACCCCTCTACATTTCTGGCGACTCTGCTGGGGAGGCTGCTTTGTTGATAGTTCATACCCGCAGTGGCTTACATACTTCACTGGAAAAGATGGCAGAGGAAGAAGTTCAATAACTCCCACGGCAGCAAGGCTCTTCCAATGGCGGAGCAGTACATGTGGAAGACCATGACCACAATGTTGTGATTGAGGTAGTTCAGTCACTCCAGGATATGCAGAGGGAGATCTGGACAGCTTTGCAAACTCTCACTGAGGCTATTATGGCCATGGCTTCTAAACCAGCTCCAATGCAAGCACCTCTGCCTGTAGCAGTCCCAAAACTTGTTCCCTGAGATTCGGGCTCCAATCTAGGTGCCTTTGGTGGTACCTTAGGCGAACGGTACAACCGCCGGTTCAGCTACCCATGAGCAGACTGGACTATTTCAACCTATTTACTTTGTTACTCTGGCCAATGTACAAGCTATGCTCGAGCAAGAGTGCAGCGAGAAACAACTACCATCTCTCCCAGACCCAGATGTGAAGCCCCCATACTCTCAAGAGATATTGACCATGCCCCACCCAACTGCGTATACAGTGCCCAAGTTTATTAAGTTTGATGGGAAACAAGGCAATGCTAGCGAACAGGTGGTCAGGTTCATTGAAACTCTTGGCGTCCATGGCAGTGACCACTCTCTGTGCCTTTGGGAGTTCTTCAAATCACTTACTGAAAGAGCCTACAGTTGGTATGTGAACTTGGCTCCCAACTCGATCAAAAGTTGGGAGGAGATGGTGAACAAGTTCCACACGAAGTTCTTCCAAGTCCAGGAGAAAGTTACAACCCTCACACTTGGGTGAGACGTCCAAAAAGAAGGCGAAGATATACTGGACTATGTTAAGCGGTTCCAGGACAAGGCGATTGATTGCCATGAACCAGTGGATGAAGCTCATTTAGTCAGCATATGTGTGGAGGAAGCCATACGTGACTACAAGATTTTCTTGGTGAACCATAATCTGCTTACCTTTTCAGCCTTGATTGAGGCAGCTAGAAATCTCAGTACCATTGGTCCTTTACACAGGTCTCGTGACAGCCACCGCTACTTTTGTAGTA